TATTTTCAGATTTTTTAATATTCCAGCATGTACAGATTTTGAATGTATTGTATTGACAGGTATATTTTTTTATGAAGAGCTAAAATATTTTAAGTTGAAATGTATTTATTTTGGAATGATATCCTGTATTTTGGTTCATATTAATGGTTAAAAAACATAAATATTTAGTCTGTTAAATAAATGGTTATACTGTTCGGCCCGCGAGTTTTGAGTTTTGGCCCCCTGTGCAATTGAGTTTGACACCCCTGTCTTACATGTACACGGCCTCTTTTATCCAGAACAACTCCCCAAATCTAATTCTAGACAGACCCACTCACCCATTGCAGACATGGGTCTGCGGTGGAACATAAGCAGCAACACTACACAATTGCAGCTGCTACCACTTCCTCTTTGGGTAGGAACAAGGGCCCCCTTCATAGGAATAGTTTGACGTCAATATTTGGGGGGCAGCTCCAGCCAGGACAATGGGGCCACGCTTCAGGGACAAATTCCATGCCTACCCCAGGGTTGCAGTGCTGGGCCCACTGTGGGGACACTGCTCATCCCGTGAGGCCGGGCACCTGCCCTGGTGTTTGTTCAAGTCTTCCATAGGGATGCGGGGACTGGGGGGTGGAATTTAACCATGGCCATAGTGTGGCTAAAGCGCAGGTGTCCACAAACAGGGTGGGGGCCTTGTAACCATGGCTGGAAACCACACAGACTCCAGGAGCTCGGGGCAGGACCGGGACTGCCCCACTCCTCTTCCTCTGAGGCCCTGCCCCCTAACCGAATACTGACAGTTTCCCTTTTCGACCGGACATTCTGGTCAAAAACCAGACACCCGGCAACAATCCTGTCATCACCTGGCAGCCCTGCCGCAGACACTCCCCAGTAACCTGGTGCATCTCACAGGCACCCCCCGCCCGGGAATGAGGGAAGGACGCAGGGGCCACCAGTGCTGGGCAGAGGGACACACTCGTGCCGGGCCCGGCTGTTACCTATGTTGGTCCAGATCACGGCATTGTCCAGATGGAAAGAGAGTGTCACTGCCCAGCCCCAGTCCCTGGCAACCACCTCCTCTCGGGGCCGGCCCCTTCTCCTCGCCCACCCCCGGCAGCTCTGGTTTGCCCTCTGCCACCCGCCGGAGACGCTGGGCTCCTCTGGCCCTGGGTGGGGACCGTCACCGGACACCACCCTACGAGCAGGAGGTCTGGGGCCGGCTGCTGGCACAGGACTCCTCACCGCTGTCCCCTTCCCAGGTGTACATGGCAGTGCCGGGTGCCTTGCGGCTGTGGGGGAGGGGCGGCTGAACCTTTAAATTGTGCCCCCCCCACTAGCAACGTGTGCAGTTTGGGGGCAGCGCCCCCCATAATCCTACAAACTCCACCCATGCCCCCTGGCACTATGGGGAAAGGGCCTCAGGCAGGAGCTATGTCGCTGAGGCCGAGGGACCATTTCTCTTTATGCTACCCCACAGGGTGCCAGAAATCAGAAGTTTTCTAGGGAAAATGGGCCACAGGATCTCTGCAGCGATATCTATGGGTGGTGATTCAAACTGTCTGGAATTGTTGATAAATTGTATCGTTTGACCACACTTTGGTTCGTTATTTTGTTATGAAATATACTCAAGAGCCCAAATAACCAGTGTCAGGCAGGTTTATTAATATGGCACAGGAACAAGGTTCAATACGATACCAGTCTCCAAAAAGTCGGCCTGTGGGGCTATGTGGCATTCCCCTTACACTGACGGTGCGCTCCCCCGTTACAAATTTCAGCTGCTATTATATATGATTTGACAAGTGACACATTTTGACAAGTTTCATGTCTGCTTGTGCCAAATGAAGGTATTATGGGATACTAAGCTTAAGTGAATGAACAGGATTATGGCATAGGCTGTTTCAGCGATATCACTGTTAAGAACATAAGAATGGCCATAGTGGG